ATGGACACTTCCCCGTTCCAGGTCCATGATGTTAATAGTACCACTGAACCTGGTGTTACCTAACACAGGAATGACTCCGAAAAGTGTTAAGCGGAGGCGGGGTGAGATGGGGTGGTTGGTAGGTACAGGAAGAGCATTTTCCACATTTCACCATCCCCTCTGCTGCCAGTGAGGCTACGATCACCTGTCGAAAGAATTCCACTGTAGCACCTGTACTGCATCAGTGGTATCAAAAGTGGATATGGTCGCTTAACCTGCCACTGCTGGGCCACTCCAAATTCTTCGATGAGGTAAGACTATTTAACTTCTGAAATGCCACACCCCACGGAAATTCCCTTCCAGCCTTCTCCGAAAATCCCACTCACGAGAAGTTCCCCTTCTAATAGCACGAATAGGATCCCCTCGTTGAACTTGGCACATTGGAATAGTGACAATGCCCTATCGCAACATATTGCTCATTGACCATTTGGCGGATTTTTTCCAAATTATCCAGATTTCTGTGTTTCTTGAAAGTGACATACATTTTTCTCAATTTGTTGATAGGGGAATTTTTAATCGATACGTAAAATGGAGAAAATAGAAGGGCATCTACTGTGCAGAATAACACTGACCTTTTTGGGATCGAGGCTCACACAACCGTCCTCATTCACGAAATCACAATGATGTTCAAGGATTGCTTGTCCCGAAAGTAGAATGTCAGGACGTTTGGAGGCTTCCGGACGGCCAACACTGAAAATTTTCTCATCGGTGTTCAGAACTTAGTCAAAAAAAGCTCCATTGCATTCATACTTGAGTATGTAAGACAAATTATGGAGGCTAAAGTAGATGCTATTTTGTTTCTATCAGAGGTCTTTATGGTCTGTTTTTAGATGGTTGCAGAACTTTTGTCAATAGAGGAAAAAATCGATTCCAGTATCAAAATTCATTAACAGACGCACCTTCACTGTTCCAATGCATACCCTAACCGAATAAGTTCTACGAAAATCACAGCCCGTCACTTTCGACTTCAAGTTCTCTCGATTCAAAAATTCAGCCAAATCCACACAAACTATATAAATACTGGTAAATCATCGATTACGCAAATGCCACTGAAGTTACAAGGAAAAATGAAAATCCATTTGTTTCAAATCTGGAAAATTGCGAGGACGCTCTGGCCCATTACAGCGCGGCGGTCCATTTCAAGCTTATGAATCACCGAGATCCGATTAGTATTTCTTGGTATGATCGTATTGAGCAAGCAATTCGAGTGACAATCGAAATATGTTCAAGAAGATTCTGTAGGCATTAAAGGACGAATTCACGATGAAAAAGCAACCCATTTCAAATTAACCTAGGGATGGTGAGTGGTACACGAAAGAAGGAAGAACCATGAGAAACGGCCCAGAACCCGAGAAATGGGACCCCTTCCTTGCCCGTTGATTTGAGCATTGATGCGACTCTCATCGCTGTGCCCTCTTCAACACTACGCTCTCTCAGCTATCTAATCACTCGCCACGTATTGAACTACGGCGAGTGATCAGATGATCGGTGGGCGGAGATCGCCGGACCCGCCAGCTTTGAGGCATGATAGGTCGCCGAGGTCAAATTTTTCCATGCGAATTGCGCGTCAGTTCGCACCCTCAGGAGGTCCGTGGGTCCCTCAACTAGGTCAGTTTCCCTTTCTTCGACCTTCATTCTAATCGTGAATTCCTCCTTTAAGGCATTAACGAAAAACATTTGAACCAAACTCTAAGATTTTGTTACAACTAGCAAGTTTAACCACAAAAGTCATGCTAACAAGGGTACCCTCTCGAATAAGATTGGTACAGAGTGTCGTAGCGTTTTTATTTGCAAGCTCAAATCCAGTTAGAGCGTGATCTTCGACAAAACTTTTAGTGATATTTAAAAGTATGTTATCTCATTACAATACCTAGTTTTTTGTTTTATTCAGTATGGAATGTAATCAAATATAGTTTTGACGAACTGAAAAATTCAGGTGATAGAAATCGTCGATTTCGACACCTGCTATTCATTTGGCTTTCAATTAAGGAAAGAGCTCCTGAAGCGGAGTTATTCAGCTTACGTACTCGCTGGATCCTCCTTCATCAACGTTATATTTCGTCTTGATTTCAACCACATACTTTGGACATATCTCGATAATGAGGATTTTGAAAACTGCTCAACGTCTTTGCTAATCCAAAACGGGTGCACCTGAGAAATGGAGGCAAGCTGATCATTGCGCAGAGAAATCACTGATCAGTTTCATGGTTTATCGTTTCTAGCGTTTGTGCCGAATGCGAGCGCTACTATGTTATATTCCAATCTCAAAGTTTCCTACCGCAGCTTCGCGCTTCATCCATCTGGCAACTGGTGGTTAACCACTGGAAATCGAACAGAGTTGTGATTTAGCTCACCTGGTAATACCTTCCTTAAGATAATACAGGAGACATTCGGACATGAGCGGATCCTCGTTGAGATTGACCAAATGTGGAAGCTGAAATTCAGAAAATTTTAATATGATTTTAGAGCCACAAGGAGTTTAAATGGATTCCGAAGCTTGTCATTTCAAAGGGAGCACATAGAAATTCTGCCCGGATGCAATAACCTTTGCCACTGTTTTCATTGTTTCCGCAATAGAACTCATGGAAAGTATGGCATTCGTTGACCCTTTATGACTCGTAGGAAGCCCTCGTTTTCAAAAACACGGGATTCCTTCTATGAACTTCTAATAAATAGCATCCAAATAACACTGGAAAATAGTCAATACTTCATAAACCTGCCCAAACCTCAAAAGCCCTTGGCAACCCGTTATAGTTTGATGACTGGGAGTCGCAATCAATTCCTTGACGGTTGCAACCCACA